AGAAACCCTCTCTTTCTTCCTGTTGGAAATAATCACATTCAACAATTCTCTATACCCAAGTAACTAACTGAATGTAATAGATCACCATTAGTACTCATCACATCATAAAAGCAATCATATATTTGACTTTAACTATTGAGAATCCAACCTAGAACTTCTACAACCCTTATGAATCTTATTCTGATCATGGTGAGTTTCAACAATCTATTCAAAAATCACATTTTGTAGTACCAACTGTTTTGGCATTCAACACCAATACATATTAAAAGAAAACAAAACTAACCTTGAACATGGCTTCTTCTAGACATAATCAACAACTTAAAATCGAACACCCAAATCTTGGTTTTGAGAAATAATCATGATTTGAATCTAAAATACATGGCAGAAAAATCGAACTAAAAAATACATACAAAAAAATCAAACAGAAATAAGAGGGAAAAAAAGAGGGTGTTTCTTACCGGTGGATGGAGGCCAGAGCTCAGGAAATGCGGCGCTAGAGGGTGGCGGTGAAGGCGTAGTTCGGAGATAGAGGAGTCGACGCAGATGTCAGAGGTGTGAGGAGTTGCTGGAAGAAATTGTCTGTGGGACAAGGAGAAGGAAGTCGTGGAGAAGAAGGACACATATGGACGAATTCTTAGTCAACGTTTTATTTTAGTGGACCGAGTAAGGCCCCGTTTGATAGTTTCTGTCTGGGAAAGTGTTGTCTGGTAAAGTGCTGTCTGGGAAAGTTTTCTGACTGAGAAAGAAACCATGCACTACAAGAAATATCGGTATTAGCGGCGACACCTTTAGCGGCGACACCGGCTATTAGCGGCGACATCTAATTGACGCGTTACATGTCGCCGCTAATAGTTGGTGTCGCCGCTAAAGGGGTCGCCGCTAATGATGCTACAGTGTCGATCCGCGTCAAATCAACCATGTCCGTTCGATCTGCTTTTCATCCAACGGTGGGAAATGAGGAAAAAGGGCGCTGTGTTTTCCCTCCAGGGGTGTCGCCGCTAAACCCTAGCGTCGCCGCTAATACGCGTCGCTGCTAATACTCGTCTCAGATAACCCCCCCCCCCCCACTGCGTCACTTTTCTTTTTGTTCTGCTTCCTTTCACTCCTCCAACGATTACCGACGACTGCACCTCCGACGACGACCTCGTTTGCGCCACAGGACTCGTCTCCGGCAGCCATTACCGCCAGTGGAGCTCCATTATTACCGGCGACCACACTCATTTCCGGCGACAAAAGTTCGATTTAAGGTCCGATTTCTTCCCTATTTTCTATTCAACTTCTGTTTTGGAGTTTTCTTTACTGGTTTTAAGTGTTTAATTTAATGTTTTTTGAACCCTTGTCGGAAAATCTACTTCTGCCGAATCTGTTGCCGGAATTGTTGCCGGAAAACTGGATTTCTTACCGGAAAATCACTAAATTACACTAGCACAGGTTCCTTTTTATGACTTTTGAAATTATATATTTGATTTGTATGTTTTTGTATGTTATTTGTATGGTTATTATTTGGAATTTGGAATGAATTGTCGCCGGAATTGTGTTTGTGTGTTATTTGTATGTTTTTGTGTGTTATTTGTATGGTTATTATTTGGAATTAGGTTGCTATAATAGAAAAATAAGTATGATGCTATAATGAATATGTGTAGGAAAATGTTTTACATGTATTTGTATGTATAGTGTGTGTATTTATGTATGTAATGTGTGAAAAACAAAGTGTATATTACAAAGAGTAATTTTCAAATCAAATTTAATATTTATGTGGTATTTTAGTTTTAAAATTATTCATAATCATAAATTGTTTTGTAAAACTATTAAATTAAATTTTCTATTATTAATTTAGATATTAAATATAGTTATAAGAAATATAGTTATTCATAATCATAAATTGTTTTGTAACTAACTTTTATTCATATTGTATTTCTATATTGTACATCTTTTAATTTTACAGACTACAAATGAGGTTTACGTGGGCGATATTCTTTGTTATGATGGCTGATATTATGGGCCTTGGTCACGGAGGTGATGGAGTTGGGGATCCACCATCTCCAAGAGGCTTTGGTCGCGGGCAACATGAACAGGATGGTAAGTTTTATTATGATATATTTATTAGCTATTTTAATTAATTTATTATAAGTTATCGTGACTAATATTTTTAATTGTATTTTTTCAGTCGAGCTTCCAAAGAAAAGAAGGGGTTTGTCAAAGAATATAGAGCTAGGAAAGTGGATAAAGGGCAAACAAGGGAAAGACTGTGGATTTGAATTTTGACAGGGAGATCACATATTCCCTTGTCGGGAAGCCTGCCAATTGGTTCACACATGAAATTGGGAGGTATTTGTGGAACAACGTCCCTTTAAACATATCTGGTTGGGACAATGTTTCCCCCGCGTTAAGGAATGCGACAGTTGTGCATCTAAAGGTAACTTGAATAATATTTTAAGTTTCGTTGTGATTGTTATTTAATTAACTAACTTTTTTGTATTTGTAGAATAAGTTTGATTTGGATAAGGTTAACTTGGATCCGGAGCGTGCACAATTGTTGCGGAGCATTGATTCGAGTCTTGCAAAAGTTTACAGAGGCCGAAAAAGTAAAGCCCATTCTTATTTTAAGGATATCGGGGGGCCTGCAGATATCCCAATGGCACTAAACAACCCCCCCCCCCCCCCCAACGGTATGTCACCAGAAAATTGGGCGAAGGCAGTCGAACATTTTCAATCGCCCGAATTTTTAAGTCGTCCGGCGTCAAACAAAGAAGTCCGTGCAAAACAACTAGTTGTAAACAGAGGGGGGTCGAGCTCGTACAGTAATGCATGCTTCAAAGAAGTAAGTTATGATATATTTAAATGTTTATTTAAAGTATAATTAATCTATTTTTTTTTGTTAAATAGGATATCACTCGAATCGAAGTATTCCGTAAGGCTAATTCCAATCGTCAAGGGGTGTTTTATAGTCCTGCAGTCGAGCAACAATACGTAAGTGGTTAATTTGTATTTTCATATAAGTGTTATATCGTCAAGGGTATTTAGTAATCTATTTTTATGATGTTTATCATTTTTTGAAAATACAGAATGCTTTACTTCAGGAGATCAATCAACAAACCCAAGCTTCTTCTTCAGCAAGCGGTCTAACGCCAAGTGATACAAGAAAATGTTTTGAAAAAATATTGGGTGTTCGACGCGGACATATTAGAGGCATTGGGCGTAAATCCCCTACCGTTGTGTCTATGTACGATCAAGAACAACCGATGACACAAGAACCACCACAATCACAGGTAATTGTTTGTTTAAGTTGAAAAGTATAATGCTATAATGCTATAATGATATGTTGGTAGTTTTTGAAAAGTATAATACTATTATGATATATTGGTAATATATTTTGATTTCTTTGTAGATGGAAATGCTGCAAACGATACTGAAGGACCTGGCATGTTCTGCGGCATTAGAAGAGTGGTTTCGTTCATTGCCACCACCAAATAATGAACGAAATGATGAGAGTGATGGCGAGGAGTAGGAATTTTAGGATTTTATGAAATGTTTGTTTAAAATAATACTTTAATTAGGTTGTATAGACTAATATTTTTGATTGTGGATTAATATTTTATCATTGTTATATTGTTTTTGGTTGTGTATGGGTTAAATATAACTGATTTTATAAAATTGTAGATTTATATTTCATAAAATTGTAACAAAAAAAAAATGAAAAAAGTCTTTTGCAGCGACATATAAGTATTAGCAGCGACGCGTTTTTAGCAGCGACATATAAGTATTAGCAGCGACGCGTTTTTAGCAGCGACAGGTAAGTATTAGCGGCGACAAGAAGGGCATTAGCGACGAAGCATTAGCGGCGACGTATTTGCGGCGACGTGTCGCCGCTAATACTTTTAGCGGCGACAAACCTACTCTTTTGTGGCGACGGCTGTCGCCGCTAATACCAGTATTTCTTATAGTGATGCTGTTTGATTGTACATCTGATTGACTATGCTGAATGATGAAAAAAAGTAATAATTCAATAAAAAATAAATTTAAAATTTTTTTTTTAAAAAAATTAATAATCCAATAAAGAAAGAAAGAGGCGGGGTTTGGTGTATAATTGTCTTTCCAGCCCATTCAGCCAGAAAGATATGATTTTGGGGCTTTCTGGGAAAGACATATCTTACCGGGAAAGACCCATTCTTTTGTGCAAATCAAACAGTCTTTCCGGTCCATTCAGCCAGAAAGATCTGTTTGGACCTGGAAAGATGCGTATCAAACGGGGCCTAAGAGGGAAACAGGATGATATCAAATACACTTGTTGGCCTGGGTCAAAGATGACCTCTTATTGGATCCATTAAGAAGTCTATCAAACAACCCTAAATCTTTTAGCCTGAATCCATGTCATAAGTTTTAAGTTAGAAAATAAATATTTAATTTGGTAATTCATGCAAGTTTAAAATTGAAAATTTGTCATACGTTTTCTAATACATTTTTGTAAATGAAAATATCCATAAGTTTTTAGTTTTCGAACTTTTTTGGTTGATGGTGGTGCAGTAAACCAACCATTTTTACCAACAAACTAAAGATCTAGTAGCAAGTTTAAATGTTTAATCATCAATTAACTAATGTTCATTCGGTGTTACTTAAATCCACAACTGCTAATATATCTATAAGCTATATACATGTTAAATTTCTGTTATACCAAGATGCATCTTTATATATACTACAAAGGCACAAACGCAACTTGCATCAAGCTGCCTAGACTCATTCTACGGAAAACATGTCGATAAAGAAACAAGTGCTAGAAACATGTCTATAGAAAAACAAGCGTTAGGTTAACATGCGAATACGGATTACAAGCATCTAAGCTAATAATTTATATTAATTCAATGTGCTTGAACAAATCACGTTAAGGAGTTAGACATATAAGTAGTGCAATCATGCAAACACAATTACATAGTCTTACTCTAAAATTATCATAGAGTTAGAATAGTTTCTCATTAGACAACCTAATTAATGTAAAATATGAATTACAACTTGAGTGGCCAATTAGGGATCCGATCGATTGTTTTTTGAACAAGCACAAAAAGTTCGAGTTGCCTACTGTCTCCATGCCCTACATCGAGTATCCCACACACTCTCTTTAATTTTGCATCGTAAGCCTTTTCAACAAAAAAGCCAGGATATTCTCGAACATTCGGGATCGTTTTGTTTGGTGGAACAAAATGCACCCGACACTTATGCATAACCGATTCAGCTGCAAACTCAATCTCTTCAAAACTATAAAATAATTCTCTTTCTCCCCTCGATTCCCAATTTCCCTCATTTTCCTTTTCTGCAAACTCCGGCCGATAAAATTTCCGCCCAGTCACCGTAATCCTCCCATCTATCGTTTCTCGAATATCCTGTGTACACAATGAATTGTCTGCTTAAAAAAATGGTAATCTGCAACACATGTGAGCGACCCACATATTGATTTCTTTTATAAGTCTTAAGTTGTGGAAATACCAACAAGTTTTAGGTTATTGGGTTAGTTTAAAGATACTTACCTTAATAATAGCTACAGAGGGCTTCATGTTATATTCTTCCGGACTAACAAGCACGGTATCCTCCTGTTCCATAAAAAAAAAATGATAGTATATGATGGTACTGTATGCTACATAATTATTTTTCGAGTTATTTTTGAAGTGTCTTTTCTACATGCAAGAGAAATGGATGCTATGGTGGTGATTTAATGCTGCTAGACACAGGCTAGGAAACGCAATGATGGACATGCAGTGTGTTTAATTTGATCTTCTGCGATGGTCAACGCCAAACAAAGGTCAAACTAGCTCATTAATGTGATTAATTAATTGATCCAAGTTGATACTCGCCCTAACGAAGATTAACTAGCTTGCCCTTTTTAATTTATAGGGTTCAAGTTTGAGCTTGAGCTTGTTTCGAGCAATCCGTGTTTTGAAGCTCAAACTCGGTTTGCTAATTAACTTGTAAAAGTTCGAGCTTGTTTGTTCCATCTCTCCACACTCCAATCTCCCTACCACGGGTTTCTTTACTTTGTTCCAACTTCCAAGTCACACACTCTAACACAAATACTACCAAAACCAAGCACGTTTTAGCTAGGTTCTTTCAGGTTTCATAGTGCTATATAGAAATGTAAAATTACATAATTAAGTTCAGACATGCAAACGAAGGTTTTGAGCTATTAAATCAAGCAAACTAATAATAAAAAATAATGACTTACGAGCTCATAAGAGATGCCATCTGTTTCAAACCCTTTGAAATGTTTCGTTACCCATTCTCCTTCTCCAGAAACCCTAACAACATGTCCAGTCGGCTTTGCGTCCTGTCTAGCTTCTTCATCATCGTCACTAATGTTGCTGTTCATCAGTGGCAATAAATCTTGCGGTTTTACTTCTCCTTCTTCATATTCGTCTTCATAAACGATCATTTTCTTTCTTTTCCCTAACCTCTTACCGATCACCAGTGGTTGTGGTGAAGACTGGCCGGAAGGCAGAGACAGCCTGTCGTTCATCTTCACGGTAGACGGTCAAAGTGTGTAGTTAGCTAGGACTGTTAGGTGATGTTGAAGGGTATGTTATTAAAGGTGGGAAATGACTAAAATTCGCAAACAAACGGCCTCGTTGTGTTTTCTATTTTTCCCAATTATGATATTGTATTTTACTATTGTTGTGTATGTGAAAACAATTATTCTTTGTACTGTATATTTATTTCTTTTTATCTTAGGAATTGTAATTTTATATTTCTTAAAATCACTTGATTTTAAGAAAGAGTAACATGTTATATTTTGTTATCTTATTCTTATAACCTTCAGAATTTTTATAATACAACGTTTTGACAACTTACTGAAAATACAATTTTATAAGCTACACTAAAAATAAATAAAAGTAAAACGATAATAAAATAATAATAATAACTTTTTTTTGGTTATCCAAGCCAATGATATTTTAAAAAGGGACAAGTCCTGCCCTTTATACATTTCATTCCAAACACTAATATCATTGGCTTGGATAAATTGGGAAATTGGGAAACACTTATGAAGGGTTATTGATATAAATACACAACAAAGTTTTACATTTTGTTTTAAATGACCATTCAATTTTTTATTGGACAGTTAGACCATTAAACTCAAAAATCACCTCTCTAAACTAATATTTTGATCAAAATTTTCAGGTTTCCCAATTACATTACCGTGTGAATATTGATTTATGATAGTCAAAGCTTTTTTCAATAGTTATGTGGACTATTGCTATTAATATTTATTAAATAAAAAGCGAAAACTAACCATCTCCCCACCATGGTTTCTCATGGAAGCACCTCCGTCTTAACATAGTGGAGAAGCATCTCCGTCTTAGTATTGGAGAACAGACCAATCGATGCTCAATTGAATTTGGGGTATGAACGCATCGCCAAAGGAAGATCCATTCAAAACCTAACCTCCATAGGCTATAGCCATTATAGTTTTGTTGATAGGCAACAACACTCAACTCGATCTTCTTTTCTCTTAAGAGAGAAATGACTTCTTCACTTCTTTATCTGCTTTTCTTAACTCTCGTTTCCATTTACGTGTTCCAGTTTCAACCTCAAGCTGCTCCTACTGGTATGCTATCTTCATACCCTCTCCCACACATTCGATTGTCAATTATTCGTGTTTAATCAGCTTCGGTGATTAAAAAGTTATCTTCCATACTCAAATGGATAGCTAGGTCTTATTTTCTTATTTCTAGGTTTCGTTACTTTCATTACTTTCACTATTTTATCATATATCTTCTTATTCCATACATACATAATACCAGATATAAGCCAACTGCCCTAGATTTTATGAATATTCAATTGATTTCGATTGATTTTTGTGTAGATAACGTGGATTGCCTTTTTAATTTTTTTAATTTCGTGATACACAGATGGGAATATTCATCAGTCCGTGGATGGATATTTAGTAGAAACTATCGTAGAAGGGAATTAGCTAGGGGTTGTTCCTTATTCCATCAGAGTCTGGGAAGATGGTGACATGTTCGTTGTTGATGCAGTCAATAGCAACATCGTTCAAATCACTCTTCCATTATCTCAATGTAAGCTTCTTCATATGCTTGTTTTCCAACTGATTGATCTCCTAAGAACACGAGCTTGTACTTGGCTAGAGTCGACATCAGAGCCATTTTATTTGAAATTAATTATGGTCTTTTAAAACCCAACGTAAAACTTTGATGTGCCTTTATCTCATTAACCCATTTATGAATTGATAAAATTTATGAATTTTGAATGGATAAAATTAGGAAACACTAATAATATTTAAATTTTGTGAAACACTAATAATATTTATGAATTGATAAATTGGTGGTAAATTGGGAAAAACTAATAATATTTATGAATGGATAAAATTTGAATTTTGTACTTTTAGTATGGAATTTTTCATTTTAAATGTAAGTAAGAAAGGTTAAGCAGAACCATGATGGGAAGTGTGAAGTCTCTTATGGTAAATTGGGAAATGAAAGTAGAAAGGTTTTTAACTAATAATATATATGAATGAATAAAATTTGAATTTTGAACTTTTAGTAAAGAATTTTTCATTTTAAATATAAGTAGAAAGGTTAAGCAGAACCATGATGAGGAGTGTGAAGTTTGTTGTTATTTTTGCTCTCATTTGAGTCCTTTGGTGTTCTAGGAATGATCATATATTCAACAATAAGGTTAAGCAATTCAAAATTTTAGCGAGTAAAGTGCAATTTTATGTTTATTTCTGGCTAAAAATAAAAGTAGAAAAGGTAATCAAATCAAATGGTTTGATTGGTGTACTAACCGGGTATGCTTGTAATTTTCTTCTAGCCACTTGCTAGCTTTATTTCTCTAATAAAAACATTTTTGTTGTTAAAAAAAACCGACTAGGCTCTTATCATATGAGCAATATATATATATATATATATATATATATATATATATTATATATATATATATATATATATATATATATAACTGTTAACTAACTACTTTTAGGGATAATTACGAAAATAACAATATTCAATATCTACCTAGATATAACAAATAATCCGTATTTTCTTAAATTTTGTAAATTAGCGCCTAGTTCGAAACTTGGTTAGGTTGGAACATACGTTTTGAGGTTCGAACATTTTTTTTTTTGTAAAAAAAAATAAAACAGAGAGTTCTAACTATTTCTCATACAAGAGTATTAAACTTGTTTTTTCTAGATGAGTTTTTGAACTTGTTCATGAATTTCAAACTTGTTCTTTGTATATATTTAATGAAATGCTATGATCACATTTTCCTTTGAAATGAAAAAAAAAACTAAAAAAGAAAGGAGAAATAATGAATTTATAGCAAGAATTAACGAGATGTAGTGTTATGTTATGGAAGAAGAAAGAGTGAAAAACGAAGACAAAAGTTTAAAAATCATGAAGTTCAAAGCTCCTTTATGCTTCGAAATCTTCAATGTTACTAACGAAGACAGTGGTCATTTTTACATTATATTAAAAATGTAGTTATAGTAATAAGACTAAACTGTATAAATGGTCCCTATGGTATGTCGAAATTGTTACATTGGTTCAAAAAAATTTGAAGTAGCACCAGTGATTCAAAATTTTCATTTTGTTGCGAGTTTTTGTCCGTTTCGTTTTCACTTTTTCTAAAATGACAAATTTACCCGGGAAATTGACACTGTAGCATAACGAAGTTTTCGCTTTTTTCCGGATTGGCCACTTATGTTAATTTTTTGCGCAATAGGACACTAAGGTCACGTTTAACCTGTTAAATTGATCATTTTGCTCAATTTCCACAGGTTACCCGGTCAAAATGTCTACGTGGCAGGAGTATCCTGATTAATTAAATAAATACAAAAACCAAAAAGAAAAAAAAATAGAAAACAAATCATAGTTTTCTTCGTTCCTTCGTTCCTTCATTCACCAACGAGTCCACATACCCAAACACAGTAAACAGCAACCGGCCACCCAAAACCACCACAAATGGCGCCAATTCGCCTGAAACTGTGTCGCCAGTTTGGTGTTGGTTCATAATGAATTTACGATTGGAAAGTGAAGGATATGGATTTACCCATCATAAGCCGAAGACGATATGGATTTAGTTTTGTGTTCTTTGTTTCTACTTTTCTTGATGTTAGAATCGATTTGTGCAATCGATCGATTACAATCAGTTCTTCTTATAATCGATCGATCTTGAGGAGCCACCAAATCAATTTGTGTTCTTTGTTTCTTATTTTTCTTGATGTAAGAATCGATTTGCGTAATCGATCGATTGCAATCAGTTCTTGTTATAATCGATCTTGAGGAGCCACCAAATCAGTTCTTGTTAACATCACGATGGTGGATTCCTTCCCATCGTCAATGGTGGTAGATTCCTTCCGTCATCAAGATCTCGACATCCATATTTGACTTCAGTTTCACGATAGTGGATTACTTCCCATCGTCAACAGCTTGGAGTCCAAATTCGATTTCAATTTCACGGTGGTGTTCTTCATCGGCGATCGATCTCGGTGGTGGATGATGGTGATAACTAATCTTCTTCATTAGCATCGATCTAGATATGGGTTTCTTTGAGAAAGGGATTTTGATTACACTGTGCAAAAAAGGATTTCTTGGCAAGATCTTGAAGGTAATCGATCTGCATTATTTTTCTTGAAGGGTCATTGTTTTGAGTCTCCGAATTTGGTGGTGGACTGTATTGATAGTGGTGATTAATTTTTTTTAAACTCGTTATTTTGAGTTGCAGGTAGCAAAGAGGAAATTTCATTAGACATTTTTTTTATTTACAGGTTCACCATGTTTAAACTGAGACAAAAGGTAATGTTTCCTAAAAATTGTTACTTAAAAGATCAAGATTCTGGAGCTCCAGAAGCCGGAGTAGCTCCGGTGGGATTTCGCCGGTTGACCGGTTTCCATGAAAGTTCAAGTATTTCAAGGTGGAAAGGTTAGATAAATCAGGAATGGAACTGAGAGGGTGTTGTTTGCTAAATTCAAGATTTCGGGGGACTGAAGTTGTCCAATTCAAGAAGTAATTTGTGACATCCCCATTTTCACGGCCAGAAAAGACCGATTTTTGTTTATGCTTTATAAAAATCAGAGTACTTCTTTTAATAAAAATGTTGCGGAATTTGTCCCAGAAAAAAACATGATAAATACGTATCAAAGCATTTCCGAAGAAGAAATGTATTTTTATTCATTTAAAACATTTGGGATGTCATCGTCACTACAGAAACATAGAAACATAGCATAAACAGAACTTCCATTCATTTACCCTAGTGATCTACATCTCTTTTAAATCTCTCAGTGCAAAGTAGCTTCGTATGACACCTGTGATACAAATAAGCTGGAGTGGGCAGGTTGGGAAACCTGGTGAGTACATAGGGTTTTCAACCCACAATAATATAATTATTATATTTAAACATCAAACAATCAACCCGATTACCCATCCCCGTTATCTTCTTTAATATTCCTTAAAGAATTATCTTAAGGGTCATCTCCTATATCATATTTACCTCTCATCTTTCTACCTCACATTTCCTTATATGCTCGTTCCTAAGGCATG